ATTGTTTTAATGTATAAAATCTTCTGAGGACAAAAGTTCAAAATATCCCTTCCCCCAAGCTTCATATTATGCTGTGCATCCTGTGACCGACTGGCTATCCCAGGCATTATTTGTGGGCATGCCGGGTTTTGATATACAAAACCATGACCCTGACGTATGTTGGCACTTATCAAATTGATCTTGTTAAATCCTATCAAAAACTCTAACCTCAACATATGGCAGATGAGGACAAGAGGGCTCAGGAAGGAGAAACACCTTGAGCAAGGTCATGCAGCTGAATCAGTGGCATACAAGGTCTCCCATCAAAGTTTGGTCTCCTTACTAAAAGCAGGAAGACCAGATCTACATTTATCACAGAGTTAGGGAAGCACAAGTTTAGGCACTAACAACCTCAGCTCCTTGATTTCCTGTTTAACCACCTTATCAGTTCAAATATAATTAAATTATGCAATAGCTCCTGAGTATAACTTCCCATACAGCAGACTTAAGCCATTATTATTTCACACTACACTCTATGTCTGAAGACACTGCTACCTAGCTTGACAAGGGTAGAAAAATAAGAAGCTATAAACACCCTGTAAAAATCTAACATTGAAAGATAATCACAAATCATAAGATTTCACATACAGGTATGGATTTGTAAAAACAAACAAATAAACAAAAACCCTACAGGTTTTCTATTTTCTACTCAAGTCTCTACTGTATGCAGAAGTTGACTTAAATGGCATAAATTAGAAAATGATAATGGGAACTGAGTGAAATCCTCATAAATCACGTTACTAAGTATAGCTACAACTTAGATGTGAAACCCAATTAAACAGATGGCCACATGCTGTCTGAATCAGCCCCTAATCAATAAAGATGTTCATTTTAGAAAATCACCTCAATTTTCCACTTCTTCAGTGGAGCAAAAAGAAGGCAGTTGGGGGTTGGGGGGGGGGGGGGGGCAGGGTCCCAGGAAACCCAGTGGGGAAATGTATAAGAAGGAACTCCACCTGTCTTAATTTGTAGTCCAGAAAATAAGAAAGAGGAGAGAGAAAAAAAGTTACCCATAGGACTCCTTGTCATCTTGCCTGAGAATGTAATTTACAATGAGAGCAAGCACTGGTCATTAGGAAAATAGAAACAGCTTGAATCTCTTAATTAAAATACTGCTTCAAATTGTCCATTCCCCTCTGCTCCTGAGCTTTGTGAAACCACTCGGTTACCCTGAAATGGCTGCTTCTTCAGTAAACCTCTGATATAATCAGCTCTTCTCAGATTAAAAAAAAAGGTTGGACAGGGATGAATTCTGGAGGCAAAAATATTATTAGGCATACTTAAATCCCCCAAAGAGCAGTAAGCATTCACTGACACTGAAAAGTGAATGTGGAAATATTGGTGAAGAATCTATCTCAATGCTTTTTCTGGCATAAGAACTGACCTATTACATTCACTAGAATGGTGAAAATTCTGTCTACCAATGCCAAGAAGTGATGAAAATGAGAACTGGTGAAAACACTCTGTACTTTGGAACACTCACTGTGGAAAACATTGGGTGTTACCTAGTAAAGTTGAGTATTTGCACAGTAATTTCACTCATAGTATATACTTGAAACACTTGTTTCAGGGGACACATATGAGAATATTCAGAGAAACACTGTTTAGTTCATTTCACTGTATGACAAAAACCACTGCAATGTTGTAAAGTAATTTTAGCCTCCAACTAATAAAAATAAATGAAAAAAAAAAAGAACAGTGAAAACCTAGGAAAAGGGAAACTCATAGCTCTGTAGAACAGATAAGTAATCTCGGGTACAGTCACACAATGGAATGTTACACAGCAGTGAAAATGAAAGTCCTACTGCCACATGCTACCTGGATGAGTCTTAAAAAAATGCTGAAAGAAAATCACAGTTGCTTAAGATTGCATGCAATATAATTCCATTTTATTATGCTAAAAATAATGAAAAATAAACAATATATTGCTTAAGGATATGTAAATAGCTTCAAATTTCTTTAAAAAGAGAAATGATAAACACAAAAATCAGAACTGTGCAATGGTGGGGAATAAGAAAGGGATGGAGAGGAACATAGACAGATGCAATGACATCAGGAATGTTCTGGTTCTTGGATGTGTGGTGGGTTCATAAACATTATTTATTTTGTTATATGTTTTCTTATATACTTTCTAACTTTCTGTGTTCTAGCATGCTACATATATTCTTTTCCATGTACCTAGTAAAACATTTTCTTTAAAAATAGATAATTCAAAGAATTTTCTATCATTCAATAAGTTATTCCAAATGATATAATTCATATTATATAAACAAAACCCATATTATTATAAATAGTAGCTATAATTACTATCTAAAATGTAAGTGCCCATGTAACACATGCAGCTTAGCACTCAACTCAGAGCTATAGCAAAGCGTTGTGTTGTATATTTTAAATGGATACAATTTTTATTTGTCAATTATACCTCAGTAAAGCTGGGGGCGGGGGAAGAAAGCAATGGCGTTTTCATAATAATAATACACCACCAGCTAACATACTGTTAAGTACTAGCCCATACCAGTTCCAGTTCTGTAGACACTGTCATTCCCCAACGTGGCCACATGAGGGCGACGCTAAAAAGGTGTGCCTGCTGGGAGTGGGCTATTCTCTCTGGTCGGGGAGTCCTGCTGGAGGACCTGCCACAAGTGGGCAGACAGAAGGCCTCAAGGAGAAGGTGGTATTCAAGCAAGGATTTGAAGGAAGATTTGATCTGCACAAACCATGCAGATCACTTGGGGAGATTTTCCAAGGCAAAGAGAATCCCGAGTACGAATGCCTGGAAGGAAGAATATTTTGTGGTCCAGGAACAGGAAGGAGGCCAGTGTAGCTGAAAGAGAGGGGGGACAAAGGCAGCATGATAACAGGCCTCAGGGCCACTTCAAGTAATGTGGCTTGTATTCTGTGTGAGACGGGATGCTAATAATGGGTTTTGAGCAAAGGAAGGACATGAGACAACTATAAAAAGCATTAAAATGGCTACAATGTTATATTTAGACTAGATCATAGGGGGATGAGTTCAGTCAGAAGCAGGGAGGCAAGTGAGGAGGGTATTAGAGGGATCCCAGGGGAAACAGTAGGGGCAGGCCAAGGGTAGCAAGTCCTTATAAATTCCATCACCTGCATTCACCAAACAGCAAAGAAACAGGCTTAAAACCATGGGATTAGATGTGCACTTAAAACCATGGAATTAGATGTACACACCATACAAGCGAGGGTGTGTGGAGACCAGAAGAGGTGCAAGGGGAGGTGAAAAACCAGCAAGGGCATCAGCGGGACTAGCCTGCCCTCCCACAACAGCTCACTGCCAACCTGCAGTGTCTGTCATTTTTGTCAATGTCTTCATATTTTTACTACACATGGATGGACCTGTGGACAATATATAGAACTGTTCTGCATGCTTTTCAACTCTTTTTATGATGTCTTCTTCCATGTACTCTCCCAAGTTGTTTTTTTCACACACACACACAACCTATTATTTGTGAACTTCATCCATGTCACTCTGCCACTCACTGTGCACTGCTGCATAGCACGCCCTTGTGTGAACAGGACACATTTCATTCATTTTCTTTTGGTGCGCCAGGTAAGTTATTCCCCTTTTGCTGCTATTATAAAGAACACTGCTATAAGCATTCTCAAGTGGGCCTCCCCGTGTGAGACTTCTCTAGGGCACTGCTTCCCCAAGTATGTTAGCCTCACCTGGAGGGCTTAATAAAACAGATTTCTGGGCCCCATATCCAGGGTTTATGAACAATAGGTCTAAAGTGGGGCCCGAGAATTTGCATTTCTAACAAGTTCCCCTGGGGCTCTGTTGCTGATAGTCACTGGACCACACTTTGAGTGACAGCATTTGGGCACATGTCAAGAGCTTAAATGACATTCATGGACATATACATCCACCTTTGGCTTTTCCAGGTGTTGCCCAATTGTGCAGCAAGGTGGGTGAACCAATTTACATTTCCACTAGCACTATGCATCTCTGTCATCAACACTTGGTGCTGTCAGATTTTTTTATTTGTGGCAATATGATCCTTAATAATGTTTTTAACTTATCATGGTATTTATAATTATGTACCTAATTTGTTGCTGTTATTTAGTCGCTCAGTTGTGCCTGACTCTTTGGGACTCCATGTACTGTAGCCTGCTAGGCTCCTCTTTACATAGGATTTCCCAGACAGGAATACTGGAGTGGGTTGCCATTTCCTTCTCCAGGGGATCTTCCCAGCCCAGGGATCGAACCCACATCTACATTGGCAGGTGGATTCTTTACCACTGGGATACCTGGGAAACCCATGTACTAATACATGTAAATAAAAGAAACTCAAGACTTTACACCCCAGGATTATTTAGAGCATTTCAAAGCTTTTCTTAACAGCTTCTAAAATCTGCCCGGTTACCTACTTGTTTTTCCCGTCAATCCTAGAAATAAAACAAACATTAGTAAGACCATCATGACAGAAAAGTGGAAGCTTGTTCCTCTTTCAATGACGTTCCAACGTCACTGCAGTTTTATATACTGTAGTTGTTTTCCTTTTTTTTTTTTAACTTAATGGTTATATAAAGCTTGGGCTTCCCTGGTGGCTCAGATGGTAAAGAACCTGCCTGCAATGCTGGAGACCTGGGTTGGATCCCTGGGTCGGGAAGATCCCCTGGAGGAGGGCATGGCAACTCACTCCAGTATTCTTGCCTGGAGAATTCCATGGACAGAGGAGCCTGGTGGGCTACAGTCCATGGGGTCACAAAGAGTTGGACACAACTGAGCAACTAACACTTTCTTATATAAAACTTTCAAAAAAAAAACATATAAGGTAAAGAAAATGAGGAAAGCTGGACATATAGTCAGGGAAACAAACTTTCTTCACCAACATACCTGGTCACTTGTAGGGGGAAATAAAGAATGCCCTACTCTTAAATCACAGTTCTGCCCATTCTGGAACACATTAAGAAGACAAGGAGCCAGTACTCACGGATCTGGTTGGTGGATGCACTGTAGAAGGCATTGACAGTCGTTGGATTTGTAAACCACCTGTAGAAAGAGAAAGAACCACCAAGTGATCACCATTATCCAGGCAGGAGTGCATTGAAACACATACAAGGTGGCACAATTTATTAGCAAATAACCAGGGAACAATGGGGAAGTGGGACATGTGGGGAAATTATCACCTCAGTTAAGGGCTATTGCTCTGCTCTATGAACAATCTCATCCTAAACCGAACATATCTGGTTATTCAACATTACTGAAAATGGAAAAGGGTACCAAGGCTTCTGAAACAACTTTAATGAAAAATTTCTCAAATCTAAAAGGATCTACCCACAGATAGAAACAGAGCAACACACTGATGTTTAGCAGGCACTGTTCAATGGGGCCACAGGACAGCTGAGTTTTCTAGGTTGACTTGTCCATTAAAGGTTTGAGATGGGTGACAACATAGAAGTCCATGTAAAGAGAGAGAATAAAGCAAAACCATGCTACCCAGAAGGTCTGCCAGCTCCCATAGAACATTTACTGATTTAAGCACCAAAGGTTCTAATGGCTCATCTGGGCTCTGTCATTAATTAGCCAGGCTGTGGTGCACAAGTTGCCTATCTTCCTGGTTCAGTTTCTCTATAACACTAAGGTACTGCACTAAGAGATCTTGGGAGTGCCTTCCAGCTATGAAGAGTCCACACTGCATTTTAAATGCACAGGAGGTTACTTAGATTAGACTCAGCAAATTTTCTCTGTAAACAGATTATAAACATTTAGGCATTTCCTGGACCAAGAGACAAAATCAAGGATATTATGTAGGTACTTTTATAGTGAGAGAAAATTTTCTATCAAGTTTTATTGATGAAAGTCAAAATATAATAATCGAGTACAATTTTTAGTAATATGGGCCTATTAATGAGAGGAACGAAATTCTTCAGTGGCAGAACATTACGCTTCGAGGTTCAAAGTTAGTGCTTCCTACCATCAAACTGACCATGAACATTTATCTCTAAACATCATTCTTAGCTTCTGGGCTGTACAAAACCATGCAGCGGGCAAGATTTAGCCCTCAAGCCATAGTTTGCTGACCCCTGACTTTATGCCTGTGAGTTTCAGGCACTGCCCTTTATGATTAAAACCAAGCCTTAAAGTACTCAAAATAAACACATAAATCCCTTTTCGGAACAATCATTTTACCAATTTATGTCTAAAAGAGTAATTATGTCAGACTAATCATTTATGTCAGACTAACATGAAACTGGTAGGAAATCCAGGTGCTCATTCTACTTGGTCCACCCATACCTTCTCCTCTTATAAAAAGTCCATGACTGTCATCTGGTTATTATTATTAGTAGCAGCAGCAGCTAACACTCACTGAGCACTTATTATGCCCTATGCACTTTCTAGCCACAGGTTAATAATTCCTATAGTTTCTATGGGGGAAAACCTATTTCACAGGAAAGGACAATGAGACTGACAAACACTATATACTCGCACAAGGTCTAGTCTATCTGACTTCAAATCAGTTTTCTTCAGCATTATACTGGAGACAACACTGGAAATCAAGAAAGAGTGCCTCTTGTCAAAGCTGAAACCTATACTCATTTCCATAAAATATATATATTCTTTGCCTTCAAATTTTAGGATTCTTGTTTCAATAAACCCTAATGTTTGGCATAAATTTACTGGCTGGCTTACCTTTGTAAGGAAGAAAGCACAGGAGAAAGCACATTTACTGACCTAATGTCACTACTTGTAGTTAAGTATAATTAAGCATCCTCCCAAAGATGTCCATGCCTTCATCTCTGGATCTTGTGGATATGCTACATTGCATGGCAAAAAGGACTCTGTAGGTGTAATTAAGGTCAAGGAACTTAAAACAGGGCAATTATCCTGACTATCCCAGGCTAGCCTAATGTAATCACACACATCCTTAAAAATGTGGAACCTTCTCTGACTTGAACCCTAGATATGCAACAGGGAAGAAAGTAAGAAGAGATGTTGCAGAACAAAAAGTTAGAGAAATTTCAAGGGCAAGGAGGATTTGACATGCTGTGGCTGGCTGTGAGATGTAGGGGCCACAGCAAAGAGCAGACAGAGTCCTCTAGGAGCTTAGAGTGGCCACCAGCTGACAACCAGTGAAGAAGTAAGAACCTCAGTCCTACAACCACAAGGAACTGGATCTGCCAATGCTTGAATGAGACTAGAAGAGGGTTCTTCCCAGGGGCTCCCGCTAAGAGCCAAGCCAGCTGACATCCTGATTTCAGCCTTATGAAAATGGGAGCTGAGAAAATACTCTCTGACATAAATCACAGCAGGATCCTCTATGACCCACCTCCCAGAGTAATGGAAATAAAAGCAAAAATAAATAAATGGGACCTAATGAAACTTAAAAGCTTTTGCACAATGAAGGAAACTATAAGCAAGGTGAAAAGAAAGCCTTCAGAATGGGAGAAAATAATAGCAAACAAAGCAACTGACAAAGAATTAATCTCAAAAATATACAAGCAGTTCCTGCAGCTCAATTCCAGAAAAATAAATGACCCAATCACAAAATGGGCCAAAGAACTAAACAGACAGTTCTCCAAAGAAGACATACAGATGGCTAACAAACACATGAAGTGATGCTCAACATCACTCATTATCAGAAAAATGCAAATCAAAACCACAATGAGGTACCATCTCACACCAGTCAGAATGGCTGCTATCAAAAAGTCTACAAACAATAAATGCTGGAGAGGGTGTGGAGAAAAGGGAACCCTCTAACACTGTTGGTAGGAATGCAAACTAGTACAGCCACTATGGAGAAGAGTGTGGAAATTCCTTAAAAAACTGGAAGTAGAACTGCCATACGACCCAGCAATCCCACTGCTGGGCATACACACCGAGGAAACCAGAATTGAAAGAGACACGTGTACCCCCATGTTCATCGCAGCACTGTTTACAATAGCCAGGACATGGAAGCAACCTAGATGTCCACTGGCAGACGAATGGATAAGAAAGCTGTGGTACATATACACAATGGAATATTACTCAGCCATTAAAAAGAATGCATTTGAATCAGTTCCAATGAGGTGGATGAAACTGAAGCCTATTATACAGAGTGAAGTAAGTCAGAAAGAGAAACACCAATACAGTATGTTAATGCATATATATGGAATTTAGAAAGATGGTAACGATGACCCTATATGCAAGACAGCAAAAGAGACACAGATATAAAGAACAGACTTTTGGACTCTGTGGGAGAAGGCGAGGGTGGGATGATTTGAGAGAATAGTATTGAAACATGTATATTATCATCTGTGAAACAGATCACCAGTCCAGGTTTGATGCATGAGACAGAGTGCTTAGGGCTGGTGTGCTGGGATGACCCTGAGGGATGAGATGGGGATGGAAGGGGGGGAGGTTCAGGATGGGGAACACAGGTATACCCATGGCTGATTCATGTCAATGTATGGCAAAAAACAGTGTATTGTAAAGTAATTAGCCTCCAATTAAAATAAATTAATTAATTTTTTAAAAATACCACATGACTTCCAATCCTAGGCAATTAAAGGTGATACAAGCTCTCCCTGGTAAACACATGTGCACTCTCATTCCTTCTTTTTCAGGAAACTTTTTCAAAATTTCTTGCTCAATCAGCACACCACAAAGATGCCCAGTACACATGGAGAGGCCACTGCAGGCCTTCCAGACCACAGCCAGCATCAATCATTCTACACTAGGAGAGGAAGCCTCCCATGTGACTCCAGCCCCTGCCACTGTCTGACTGCAACTGCAGGCAACACCATGAGCAAGAAGCAGCCAGCAGGGCCCAGTGACCACCAGAGCCATGCTAGAGAAAATGAATAATTATTGCTGCTTTACTCCTCTAATTTTGGGGGTGATTTATTACACAGCAAAAGGTAACTGAAACACTGAAAAGCTGCCTGTCCACAGATAAAGTCCTAGCCAATGAATTGAATTTCTCCAGGAAAAAAAAATGTTTTATTTGCCCAACACAGAGGTTTTAGAAGTACCGAACCAGAATTCCTTCAAATGAGGCATGCAATCAATCACTAGTTCTCCATGGTCTCTGTCACTTCCTACCATGTCCAGGTCAACATGTGTTAACTAATTGGGCCCTGAAGGCATATGAGTTTGCACAACTTACCTCCCAACAAGATTTTAAGTTCCTCTTGGACTAAGACTATTGCCTAAGTGGTATATGCTGATCAAAAATTCATTAAAATCTATTTAAATCATTGTATTGCTATGTATGCATGCAGGCATGCTCAGTCGCTTTAGTCGTGTCTGACTGTTTGTGACCCTATGGACTGTAGCTTGCCAGGCTCCTCTGTCCATGGGATTCCCCAGGCAAGAATACTGGAGTGGGTTGCCATGCCCTCCTCCAGGGGATCTTCCCGACCCAGGGATCGAACCCACGTCTCCTGCATCTTCTGTAGTGCAGGTGGAGTCTTTACTGCTGAGCCACCAGGGAAGCCCATCGCTATGTATACATCTACTTAAATAAACAAAGGGTGTCATTCAAATGCTTTGAATTCTTTTTGTTATGTCTTTACAGTGTTCCTGCAGTCTGTGTTTAGGGAAGGATTTGGCAGATGAGGTATGAAAAAGGTCTCGTATAAATTTAAAAAATATATGAAGATGAAATTGTACTGGACAATGGGATATGTGAAAGGAATAGGATGATGAAATGCAAAAATCTAAAGGAAAAGACACTGATACTCTGGATTTCTTTGAACAATATAAAATAGATATATGTCAGGCTAAAGTTTTGCATTTTACCTATTAACTCTCAAAGATAGTCTAGGGGAATGTGGAATGGGAAAACCATAGAGTATTTACTGCTTTATTTCTCATATCCTGCAGATTGCATCCGTCCCATTCCATGCTGTGGGTAATTCTGGGCAGGACCATAATCTGTAGAGACATTTGATGTATTTTTACATATTTTTCAGAAGCTAGAGGAAAAAAAAACCCAGACATGTCTAGTCACAGTAGAATGAGAGTGAGTTAATAGGGAGGCTGGCTTAAAATCACTTCTGTCAAAGAAAGAGGATCCTGAGGGAAAGAAATTACTTTTGACTCAAGCTGAGCAGTGAAGTAAATCCTCTATTTTTAAGCAAGCTGATGAAGTGACAATTCTGAGAACCTACCCCTAAATATGTACCTTCAGGGATGACCACCCAATTAATTTCATTCTTGCTGACATTCCCCATCGTGTTAGAAACTTCTTAATGCACATTAGTGCAGCTAAAATGGATTCCGTGAGAATGAAAGATAAAAGGTGTTTATCTCCTATACCCACAAAGAAGCAAAACATTTATTTCAGGGCTTTGTGGAAATATAACCACGATGTGCTGTTCAAAGAAAACCAGTGTAGTGGAGCTACTCCAGAATCATCCTCACTCAATTAACTCCTGAATTTGCAGACCTAAAAAGATGTCAATTACAGTTACCAGGTATCATGAAGCTAAAATTTGCCAGAATGCCTGAAAAGGACCCACCCGAAATTTCTTTTAAAAAAAAATGTCTATCATATCACTGTACTGTGCAAAGAGAATCTTAAATTTCTTAATGTTGTTTTCCCTGAAATAAGACATATGGTCTGAAGAATGACTAGCACTGTACTGATTTTCATTCCAGCAGAACTTTTCCAGAAACATTAACCAATTTAATGTTCTTGTGAAAGAGGTATTTGTTTTCATTTACAGAGAAGGAAAAGACACAAATCACACAGTTTGCTTAAGCCCACAGTCAGTCAGCACTTTTCCGAGGCATAAATATTAAAAATAGTCAAGGCCATTAGAGTCTTACAGCCCATTGGCATTTCAGGATGATGTTAAAAATAGCACATTTAGGAGTTTTTAAATTAGCAAGCCAGGCCTTGCTACACATCCAAATGAATAATGACATTTTGAAATTAAAAAAAATTAACTTGGCAGCATCTCCAATATAGAAGAAACCCTGAGAAGACCCTGAGAGTTCACAAAAATACTGGTGAGAAGCTTGAATTTTTCATAAGTTGCAAAAACAAGAGTTTGAACTTATCTGAAGTAGACCTGAAGGGGCAGAACACTTTACTTATTACATGTAGCTGCTCACTGAGATACTGGAAACTATTAATATGTGAAGCTGTGAGATTTGAGAAGCTGGTTTAAGAATCCTAAATCTAAAATTTCTGTTGACTAGTTCAGGTTGGGAATGAAACAAGCAGGATGGCCTGAAAGATATTGTGACGAGAAGAGAAAATGAAGGACAGTGGGGCAGATGGTTACACATCAGCTATGCGTCATTTCCAAAGAAGTTCCAAAGCCTTCTGCTTCCTTTCTTTGGGCTTCTGAGTGGAGTCAGGGATAGGTAAGGGGAAGAGTTCAGCTTCAGGCCTACTCCTTAAACACTTTTACTTTGCAGATGGATGCTGTAAGAAGATTTGAAGGGCAGAGGGCAGGAGGGCTAGATGGGAGCCCTGGCTAAGAGGGAGAGGTGGTAATCATAGCCTTAAGCCAAGGGATGGTCAAGGGCCTAGAGTTTTTCCTAGAGGCCAGAACAGAGGTGGGAGTTGGAAGAGAGAGTAATGAGAGACCCAGAGAGCATAAAAAAGTCAGTGAAAAATCTGAAGACCAGAATTATCAGCCAAGGTTAACACATGGGCCATGAAAAAAAAAAAATGGGGGCCATAGAAGTCAGGCTTCCAGCTATGACACATGAGAGGTCAACAAATCCTTTCCATCAAAATCAGGTATAAAAAATAGACAAAATTGTCAACAGTCAACCATTTTAGGGCCCTGGAGACTGATTGAAGGCAAACAACACATTGAAAAACATTTAATTTTGAAAAACGGCCAGAACTGAAGAAGTAGAACAGGAATCTGTAGTCTTCTTGCCCGGGACTGCTCCCATCCCTCCCAGTTTGATCAGAGAGAACTTTTTTGACTACGATAGGACTGGCTGGAAAATCAGCAGCTTTGCTGCCACAGGGGGTGAGCTCACTTGCGGTCATGGTAGAAAGTTGCAGCTCTGTCAGCTAGAAGTGATGAACTTGGTAGAAAATAAATGAAGAAAACCCACACCTTTGTTCCCCTGAAGTTACAGTTCCCATTGGGAAAAGTGATAGAGCAGCCAGAAATGTAAAAGGGAGATAGTATAACTGAAAGAGTCATACAAGCGTGGAGAAAACCTCTCCACACATCCCTGGCTGAGTGGGAAATTAGGCATGTGTACAGGGGAGACCCCAGAGAGACCAGTGGAAAGTAAACTGCAAGGGTGATTGAGAACGGCTTGTGACTTGGAATGTACTCCGAACTCCGACACAGATCAACTGGCAGAGGACTGAGCTATGAAGACACAGGGGCAGCATTCATGAAGTGAGGCTAAAAAACAAAAATAAGAATTTTAAAACTGAGTAGAGACATCCATGGACACATACTGTAGCCAAGACAGATTCTATAGAGTAAGCCCAGGAAAGTTACTTTTAAAAAAGCCTCAGAAAAATAAATCAGAATCCACAGTTGCTACATTATCGAAAAGGTCATTTTCAACAATGACAAAAAATAATGCTATAAGAAAAACTGTACAAAAGGAAAAAAAGCAACCAATAAAAACTGACTCTGAGTGAGCCCAGATGTCAGATTTAGCAAAGACTTGAAAGCAATCATTGTAAATTAGTTCAAAGAATTAAAATAAACTGTATTCAAACAATTAATGGAGAATATGATGACAAATGACAACAAAGAATCATAAACAAACAGAATCTATTTTTTTAAAAAGCAAATGGAACTTTTGGAGTTGAAAAGTACAAAAATCAAAACGAAAATGTGTTAATGAGTCAAAAGCAAATTTGAGAATGCAGAAGAAAGAACTGGTAAATCTGAAGATAGCTCAAAAGAAATTACCCAATCTGGAGAAGACAGAGAAAACAACCTTGGAGAACTGGGTCATAGTGGAACAAATATCAACAGGCAGAAAAGAAATTAATGTAAACCTGAGCTGAAGAATTTCTCAGTTGTAAGCCTCTTGTTCATTTTATAAAGTGGGGATAATAAATTGAACCAACACCTCACAGAATTGACTAGAGGATAAATATGAATTAAAATATATAAGTCACTTCCCAGAACATTATAAACACATATTAATTTTAATTCCTGTCATCATCATGGTCATTGAGAATCACAACTGGCCCTGAACCCAAAAGTTCCTAGTGAAACTTCCTCACCTGTAGGAAAAGTTTCTACCAGTAGCTGGGAAAAGCGGTATAAATCACAACTGCTACGAAGAAAAATAATCAGAGCTGTCAGTTCTTTGATATGCATTAGCTTAACAAATATCCTAGAGTTATTATTCCATAATCACAGGCATACCTCAGAGACTGTGAGTTCAGTGATAGATCGCCATAGTAAAGCAAACATCACAAAATTTTTTTTTGGTTTCCCAGTGCATATAAAAGTTACATTTATACTATACTGTAGTCTACGAAGTATGCAATGGCATTATATCTAAATATATATATACCTTAATTTAAAAATATTTTACCATTAAAAAATGCTAAACTTCATCTGACAACAGAGGGTTGCCACAAATCTTCAATTTGTAAAAAAAAAAATGCACTGTCTGCAAAGTTTGATAAAGCCAAGTGTAATAAAATCAGGTGTGTCTGTATAAAATTATTTCTACATTTGTAATCATACTTTATGTTTTAGATATTTGTTTTAAGATCTTCAAAAATTTCTGCCTGAGTGTGAAATTCTAGAGCAATTTGTTTGTTATAAATATATACACACACACACACTCACAACAAGATCTGGAAATGATTTGAACATTTGTATCTTAATTAGCCTTCTTTTGATATGTATTGATGCTAGGAGTGGGAAAGTCATGACTAGATTGAACAATTGATTCATACAACATCAGAAATAAGAGTTGCTAAAAGATAACACAGATTTTGCCAAACCAAAATAACTGGCAAGCCAGCTACTCTGACTTGAGGGGAATTACAAAGTTTGATCTAAAGAGACTCCCTTACCCATCAACATATTTATCTATTTCACTTTTAATGTCTTTTTTTTTTACTCACTCTGTTTTGGGAACAGCTTTTCTCAGCCAGAAGAAATCAGTCTGTGCTAAATACTTGCGGGTTTGCAGGACGTTGCCAAAGTAGTCAGATTCTGAAAACTTGATCTGAATAAAACAAACCACAACCATCACTGTTCTAAGTGTAGATAAGAGATGGCTCTGAAAAAAAACAGAATTCAGCGCACAAAAGAGCGGCCAGCAGAGACACTGCACTCCTCGCATTATCTCTCAGCCATCACCGGTTAACCCAGTATTCACAAAACCATGAAATTTCACCTCAGTGATTTTTCTCTTAAAATAAAAAGCTCAAAAATCAATACGGTCAATTCTGGATTACAATTTTAAAAAAATAAGAGAAGCTGCACTAATTTACAATGAATTTCATTTGCTTTATAATTGAAAAATCTACTTTAACCTTTACAGAACATATTAGGTTTGAAATTTCTTTGCCCACATGACTTCTTGATCTTTTCTAAAAATGTGTACTTTATTTATCTATCATATAGGTTCTTCTAATAACACTCAGTTTAGTCAGCTGAAACCTCGTTTAGTTCATAGATGATGATTTGGCCAAATGGCAAAATCCAATTTATTGTAATCAGTATTTGTTCATGAAGGGAAAAAAATGAAAGTGATTCAAACTGATTTTCTACCCTAAGAGTCACTAGAATAATTTAATTGTTAACTGAAATTATCTATCAAAACTCAAAAATGATCTGGTCACTAAAAATTCATGAAATGACAGAAGCCAAGTATATATAGCTCACATGGAAAAACAGGAAGCTGATAGCTCACAACAATGCTGTCTATTAAAATAGGGGAAAAGACATAATTGATTCTTAAGCTCCTTTTTTTGGAAGAAGAACGGCAGACAGTTTTAATTCTATAGGCACGATCTATAAAACCAGCAGTACTTAAATACTGTAAATAGTATCTGTATAACAGTAAAAGCAATGGTCCGTAGTGCTCCCTGACACTTTGGTTTTAAATATATTAAAATGTGGCAAATAAAATAAGAATAATACACATTTGAAGAAGCAAATAATCAAGAGTAATCATATTTTATTAGCTGTAATATTTTTGTAAATTTAAGCCATGATATTCTTAAAAGCAAAAACTAAAATACAGCAAATGAAGGTATGTGAGACCCAGAGGCATAACATCATAGATACAAATGAATACATACAACTTGACAGTTATAAACTTGACAACAGCCTGTTTGTTGGCCAATGTCTGGCTCAGGTTTCTCTTTTCCCTAACATATCATGGATATTCATTTTGTCTGCAGAGTAACTTTTGTTAATTATTCAACTTAGCAATCCTTCCAGGGGACCATGCCAACATATACAGAAAAGAATAAAATAACTAAAGCCACAGAGAATGAGAAAGGCAGGAATGAAAGGATCAAATCCTGGCATCTTTGGTGATCCAGCTGGCCAACAAGTTATAGAGATAAGACTTCAAATTGTCCCTCCCTCAATCCTCTTAGGGGTGGTGGCTGATAAATAAACCGAGGTATAGTCACCTAATGGAAAACCACACAGAAGTCTAAACAAATGGTCTCTATGTGTGAACATGAAATAATTTCAAAGGCAATGCTGAGAACATTAGACTAGTTGTATGCATTAGAGAATTTTAAAATTTACAACTAATTAAATAATACTATATGTTGTTTATGAGAACATACTTGTGTAGCAGAAGCATAAAGAAATGCATGAGAATGAGAAACACTGAATTCAAGAGAGGATTTCTAGGGAAGGAGACAGCCGGGGGGCGGGGGGAAGGAGACGGGCAGGGAAAAAGGACATTAGGTCAAGGAGGATTACACAAAGAATTTCCAATGTATCTGCTTTATTAATTTAAAATGTATGTATGCATGTATACATATGCATGGCATATGTATGATGTCAAATATGGCAAATATGTTTGATATATGTTAAAGCTTGAGGCTTTCAAAGTATGATTTTATATGCTTTTCTGATGTTTGAAATGCTTTATAATAAAGAGGAATCTTAAAAATCAATTGTATTTTAGGTAGATGTTTATACTCAGCCTCAGATGAAACAGAGTAAATTCCTTGTTCAAATAAATGACCTCAACTAGCAATCCTAATATATTCCCAGATCACACAGTTAAAAGATGTGTCCACTGTTTAATCATTTTTTAGCTTTCATTCCCAACACAGCTCTGTCAGAATTTTTAGAATATGATTGTAACTGATAGAAAATTCAGATATGTTCTTGGGTTCAGAGCATGTTCTGGAAAATGCTCCCAAAGGAATTTCCTTCAAAAATACTAACTTTTTTTTGTACTATCAATGGGGTCACTTGTTACTTTTAGAAGAGTTTGCTAATGCTACTTTCCTGTTCCATTTGGGGGAAAGAAAAAAAAAAAAACCTTGACATTCAGGTTGTTCTACAGATATTAAATGCAAAATTTTCTTTAAAAAAAAAAGGAGTTCCAAGTCTAAAAATACTTTAAATAAATATGGTCCTACCATAACCATGGAAATGATCATGGAGGCAAATAATGACAATTTGCCAACAGCTTACCTATGTTCAGAGGATACATTTTAAATTGCTTTAATTATTAAACTGAGCATAGCTTCTATTTCTTAGCCTAGTTTGGTTGATCTATTCTATTTATTCAATGGAAATCACAGGTAATAGGGGACACTTTTTACCTTTTCCTGTAAGATAGGTTGAGTGTTTGGGGATAGGAAAGGGCCATATGGGAAACAGAGATGGAGAGATTAGGGAACCTGGCTAAGTCATCCAGTCCACATCATTAGGCTCCTACTTCAATGTTATTTTCACTGGCCCTAATAAGAAAACTGATGATTCAACAGAAAGAGTACAGGGAAGGAGGAGGAAAAGCTGTGATTAAATAAATCAGGGTACAGTTTACTTACTATCAGACAGCTGTTAAAATAATGGTAATGAAGGCTATGGAAGACAAGGACAAAACAATCTATCAACTGTAAAGGTCAGTGTACAAAATTATATACAAGCATCAATTACAGCTATACAAAAATGGAAAGACAAAATAACACACTAAAACAGAAGTATGTATTATTATGTTTGAATACCAACATTCAGGGTTTTTTTCATTCCTTTTCTCTATTTCTCAAAATTTCCATCATGTGATAATACTGTGATAATTTCAAGCATTTCAACAGGACCTTGAAGGAGAAAAAACTTTGAAACCTAGCAACCACTGGGAAAGTTCTGCTTATTGTAGAGATAGCAATAAGAATGAATGTACATGAATATTTTAGAACCACTTGTGATCTTCCCCAAAAATGTTTTAACCCTGAAAGTGACAATAATTGGCTCAAAAGTCTCTTGTCTTTTCAGTTACTGGTGACAATCTAGGTCAAGTTGATAATGACTTTCAATCAACTGTATCTCCCGACTTTTCAACTGAGTGACCTTTGGGGGATTAATTGGGGCTCTCATGTCATTTTCTAAGAATAGCTGTCCAGAAGATAAAATCTAGGGGAATCTGACTTTCTCTTGGTAGACACCCTATCCTGGATGTCTAGCACCAAATGCAACAGACTAAATAGAAGAATAAAGCTATTACCCTTCTCAAAGGTGTGGAACACATAATAAGGGCAAAACAAGGCAATATATTCAGCTTCTCTGTAGGATCAGTAAATACAAGTTGATAAGAGATTTGGAGAAGGAGATGGCAACCCACTCCAGTACTCTTGACTGGAAAATCCCATGGATGGAGGAGCCTGGAGGCTACAGTCCATGGGGTCACAAAGAGTCAGACACGCTGTTTACTTTACTTTCACTTTCAAGACACTACATGAGCCAATAGGAAGTACAGATTCTAGACTACTTTTTAAGTTAACCCATTCAAACATACTCAGTGATATATCCAGACACATCTAGGAAAGATTTTATTTTAGGCAGCAAAGAACTGTGAAAACTTCAATCGAATCCAGATTTTAGAATTATGTTTTCCCTTATTTAAATAGCAAAGTAATATGCAAGACTGCTGTGTTTAGATGGCTTTGCTGTAAGTGGTTATGTACGTATACATATATACACATCTACATACAGGGATGGTGTTCACAATGTTTAACAGCCTACATATACAGAACACTGCAGAAGATAGAATTCCCACAAGCAGCCGTGCAAGGGTGACTCTGAGGGAGCATCAACTACCACACCAACCAGGAACCAGATGAGACCAGATGGCCTGCTGCCACCACTGGGGATAAAGGGAAGTCTTGGTCTGCTGCAGCCAGCGGAGCACTGAAGACGGAGGCCGCGTGTGGGAGGAACGGGGGACGGGCTACAAGGCTGGCGGGCACCAGCGCACCTCCCTCCGGTGCCCGCTCTTGCCTTTCCAGGGTCATGAGGGCCAGAGATCACTTGAGAAAGTTGGCCACAATGGTTCGTTTTGTGTTTTTACCAAGGAGTACAGAATGGTCTCACAACCTGTTCTTCTAGAGCACTCCACCTAAGTATCACCTCGCTCTTGCATAGTGGCAACAGCACTCTCTGTCATTTATGCACACATAAAACATGCACACATAAACACACAAGCATTCCACTGCTAACAGTAGACCAAGGCCTGCCCCAGAGAATATTATGTGGGTTCACATATTACCTAGACATCTCTATTCACGTATTTATGTCTATGTATCAAATGTACGTGTGTATCACTCACCAGAAACACTATCTCTGAAAAATTACCCACATCCTATTCTCCTAAGTAAATGGATGCCGGCTATGATTCTGACTTGAGCTCCTACTGTAATTCTCCACTGGCTTTCACAACAGTGAGTGATGTGCCTAATGGGCCCGATTATTTACCTATTGTCTCTCAGATACATGCACACCCTTTTACTCGGGTCTGTAATGCTGGGCTGTGAATCTGAAAACCATGTTTCCCAGGCACCATTGCCAGTTGGCTTCCTGCCAGTAGGAGGCACTGAGGGAAATCAGGTGGCAGGAGGGGAAAGGATGCTGTGTTTGTTCTCTTCGGTTCCTCTTTCTCCTTTCTTCCAACAATGGTCTGGAGTGGCAGTTCCTCCTCTGCTCTCGGTACCACCACCTCCTCCCTTTTACATCCCTAGACACAAGGGAGATCACTGCTTCCTGAAAAAGTTATTAACCTCTGGTTTACCTCACCTTCCAACCTATTTCCTGTATTAAATCTCCTCTCTGAAATACCTAGTGTGGTTTGGCTTTCCTGGCTGATG